TCTCTAAATTCAGGTGGGATAAATTCAAGATCATATTTTGGCTCTCACAGACTTGTTTTCATTTTCTTCAGCTTCAGTTTGAATTTGCATATCAGTTATTGATGGTCTGTTCCATAGAAACAAGCCCCTGGCCTTGTCTTCACCGATGAAATGGAGCTTTTCCATCCTCTCTTTCCACAGGTGTAGTCAATTTAATTTCTATGTGTTCCATCTGGCGAGGTCCATGTGTCTCTTATGCTGTCTAAAGAAGGTATTTGAAATAAACAAATTTTTTGTCTTGCAGAATTCTATCATTCGTTCTCCAGCATCATTTCTATCACCAAGACCAAATTTTCCAACTACTGGTGTGTGGTCCTTCCTCTTTGCTCCCAACCTTTGCATTCCAATCACCAGTAATGAGCAATACATCTTGATTGCATGTTTGAATAAGTATGGTGAAAGAACACAACATTGTCGCACACCTTTTCCAATTTTAAAACATTCAGTGTTCCCATGTTTTGTTCGAACAACTGCTTCTTGTTCCAGGTACAAATTCCTCATGAGTACAATTAAGTGTTCGGAAATACTCATACTTCTCAATGTTGTCCATAGCTTGTTATGATCCACACAATCGAAAACCTTTGTGTCGTCAATAAAGCACAGGTAAACATCTTTCTAAGGAGCTCTGGTAGCGTAGTGGTTACGAATCGGGCTGCGAACCTTAAGGTCAGCGGTTCGAAACTACCAGCCGCTCCGCGGGAGAAAGATGAGGCTTTCTACTCCCGTAAAGATTTACACCCTCGGAAACCCTGTACAGGGTCGCTATGGGTCGGAACCGACTCGACGGCACTTAACAACAACAACAAACATCTTTCTGATATTCTCTGCTTTCAGCCAAGATCCTTCGGACATCAGCAATGATATCTCTCGTTCCACGGCCTCTTCTGAATCCAGCTTGAACCTCTGGAAATTCTCTGTCAATTTATGACTGTAGCCGTTTCTGTATTACCTTTAGCAAAAACATGAAGGAATACTAACATTAAGGTTTTATTTGAATGCCCAAGGTCTACCTGTCATAATAATGGAAAACCAACCCAGTAATTCTTTCCTGAAGTACTCTCAACATCAGAGGTTGTTGTTGTTGTTGTTATGTGCCATGGAGTTGGTTCCGATTCATAGCGACCCTGTACAGGGTTTCTGAGGCTGTAAATCTTTACGGGAGCAGAAAGCCTCATCTTTCTCCCGTGGAACAGCTGGTAGTTTAGAACTGCTGACCTTGCGGTTCGCAGCCCGATTCGTAACCACTACGCTACTGGAGAGCCTTTTTTCTGTCAACAATTATAACATCATTCACAGGCCATACAAAAGTCTCAATTTAAAAATTAGCCTGCTAAATCTGGTCAAACATTTAATAAACTCACCCCTTGTACAGGTTCGCTATGAAACGGAAATAATTCGATGGCACTTAACAACAACAACATTGTGATGGATGGAACTTCAGTTGTCTCAGAAGTTTTGAGGGCCTTATATGACCCTCGCGCCGGACATTCTCCACCCCTGCCCTACATCATTCCTCTAGCCAGTTGTTCAGTAGCCCTGAGAGCTCAGTCCTGTCCACACACACCATGCTGAGTTCACTTCTGTAGCTTCCTGGTGCCACGTGATGCTTCATGGGCATCTGCTCTTACCCAGCTCAGTCCTGCCTGGTGACATCGCTGGGCCTGACTCCTGCTGGCCCTGTATGTGAACCCCAAGAGGCCACCATCATTCCCTGGAGCTTCTCTGTCCACAGCAATGGGTCCTGGGTGCCTCTGTCTCTGCCATACGCTGAGCCGGGACCAAGCCCCCAATAAGACTTATGCTGTGTGTTCACATCCTTCTTCTAGGGAGTTTCCAGTTGAGGAACCTGCGTCTCCTCATGCAGGTCCTTCATTTCCTCTCTTGTAAGCCTATCTCCATTCAGGACAAGCCCACCCACCGAGATCAAAGGAGGATACAGAGACACTTAGGTTTGTCTGGTGGACTCAGCCTGGCTACATCTCCCTGGTCCTGGGCTTACAGCCATGTTATCTGGGCATGTGAATATATCTACAATATGATGGTCACAGATAACCCTGTGAAACATTTCCTTCTCTAGAAACCCAAGTTCATTTCCTGAAGCAGCTGTACCCAACCACACAATTCCTCATGGGTAGGAAAGGCCTCTGTGGGTTAGCTTGTACGTGGACAGGATGTGTCTCAATCATGCTGTAGCGAAGCTGCTGGCTTAGAGATATGTGATCAAGTCCCCCAGATATGCAGATTGGATCTCCAGAGGGAAGATGACCCATCAGCCTTCTCAGAGGACAACCAGTCCTTGGAAAAGTCTGGAAAAAATCTTGTAGAAAGAAATTAGAAGCTATACTTGCTTTTCCAGGTTCTGTCAGTAATGTTGGGAGTAAAAGTGACTAGAAATGGGGTCTCACTACAGACCCACTTCCTTCCTCATCCCTGGGATGTAGTGGCCTGGGATCTATCTGGAAGCCCCCAGTGTCACGTAGGAGGCACACTTTTGAGTCTGCTTGATAGACCCAGCATAAGAATCCACAAAGTTCCAAGTTCTTTTGCTTGGATTTACAATCAACACTCATGGAAGCTGCAGTCAAGAAATCAAACGACATATTGCATTGGGCAAATCGGCTGCAAAAGATTGCTTTAAAATGTTAAAGACCAAAGATGCCAGTTTGCAGATTGTGGTGCACCTTATACAAGCCACGGTATTTTCCATAGCCTCAGATGGATGTGAAAGTTGGGCAATGAAGAAGGAAGCTCATAGAACAATTGATGCATTTGAGTTATAATGTTAGAGCAGAGTATTTAAAGTACCATGGACTGCCAAAAGAAGAAAGAAATCTGTGTTGGGAAAAGTACAGCCAGAATGCTCCTGAGAAGGCAGGACGGTGAGACTTCGTCTCTCATAATTCAGACATGTTGTCAGGAGGGGCCAGTCCCTGGAAAAGGACATTGTGCTTGGTCAGGGAAAAACAGGAAGAACCCCAGTGAGATGGATTAGCACGTTGGCAGTAGCAATTGTGACTGGGTCGCTATGAGTTGGAGCTGACTTGACACCTAACAATGACAATATTCATGAATCCTAAACAAGTGAGTCACACAATGCTCTGTTGTGCTCCGTAGGGGTTTCATTGGCTTATTTTCATATGGAGCTTGCCAGGCCTTTCTTCCTAGTTTCTCTTAGTTTGGAAGCTGTCCAGCGTGAACGAGACCCTGCTGGTATTTGAAGTAACGGTGTCAGTACTTCCAACATCACAGCAGCCCACAAGCCACCACAGAAGGAGGAGCTGGCAGATGGTGGACGTTTGACTATGGAATAATAGAACTGGTGGAAACAGAGAGATAGTAAAAGCAGACTCTGTACTGTCTTTTATAGCTGGTTCCAGTGGTGGGCCTTGTACCCTAAAGTCTCTTCTCTGGTCGTCAGCTCTCAGGACTGCTTCACCCTGGCTCTTTGGATCCTGAAAAGAAAGGGCTCAGAAAGTATGGGGCGTAGCATCTTCAGAGGATAGTGTTTGTCTGGTCTCAGTCTTGTGGGGAACATGGGGCACAGTTGCTTGGAGAACACCTGCAAAAATGTAAACCCAACGACCCACTTTTCAGCTGGCTTGTCGCATTAAAAACAAAACAAAACAAAAACCAGAACCTAAATCCAAATGTGTTTATCTTTTTATAATGGCTCCGTTTCCTGGAGGCTTGTGGCATTTAAAAAAAAAAAAATCCAAATGTGTTTTATCTTTTTATAATGGCTCAGTTTCCTGGAGGCTTGTGGCATTTAAAATAAAAAAAATCCAAATGTGTTTATCTTTTCATCAATTGGCAGGACAGAGTCTCACCCCAGGTAAAAGAAAGCCCACCCCCAACCACAAGCAAGGAGTCCTGATGTGATGCTGTGGATCAGCATTGGACTGAGAGCCACAAAGTTGGCTGTTCAATCCCAGCAGCTGCTGCTTGGAACTCTATACAGGATCTCTATGAGTCAGAACCGACTCAAGAGCATTTAATAGCATCCGCCACATGCAGTGACAGAACGTGGGCTCTGTGGGGCTCTCGAGGACCGTGATGGCGCAGGGTTTAGTAAGCGGTGCCCCAGCTTCCTAGGGCCAGGTTTGTGTTCAGGGACCTTGCAGGCTCACAGCTCTGTGTCTCTGCTGCTGGCACACAGGTACACAGCCGAGTCCCCCGGCTCCAGGAGGTCAATGTGGAGGTTCAGGTGAGCGTTGTCCGGATATTGCGGGAAGAAGCGGCTGGGAACAGACTCATTGACAATGAGGTCCCTATTGTTGTAACTGAACATGACCCTGAGTGGCTGCATGGAGTCCTGCCTATACCAGTACATGGCTTGGTGGCCCAGGTTCTGTTCACAGCTCAGGGACCTCCGGCTTCCTGTCAGACTCACAAGGTACCGGGGGCTCTGGGAGACGGCTGACTCCAGGGGGCCTACAGAGGGCATATGGGGGTTCAGAGCAAGCCGGGGGCCCAGTGCTGGAGCCCAGGGAACATACTCTTATCCCCTTAGCCACGACCCACCTGCTCCCAGGAGGCACAGGACCACAGAGCTGAAGAACTGGGGGCTCATGGCAGGTGGGTGCGCAGGCAGCTCCCAGGCAGGATGGGGAGTTCAGGGGCAGGGTAGCAGCTGAAGTTCTCACACAGGTACATGTGACATCACGCCCCACTGGGGGCCCTTTCTCCACCTTCCTTCCTCTTTACGACAGGAAACTGCTCCTCCCCAGGGGACTGAGTCAGAGGGGGTGGGCACAGAGGCCCCTCTGAAGGTCACTCTGGTGCCTGCTGCTCCCTTCTGCAGGGCCGGTTACCCCCTTAGCTTCGCCCCTCCCTCAGAGACCTGCTTCCTTGTCTGGGTCTCTGGCTTCCCCCTCACACCTGTGCCCCCAGACTCCCTGGGTGGTGGGTTCCCTGGACCCTGGAGTTCCTGGGGAGCCCCAATTTGTTGGTGGGTGCCTGCGGGGAACATGAAGGGTTGTGGGAAATGAAAGAGAAGTGGGTGCAGGGATCACAGCTGTGGAAGCTGGAGACCCACTGACCAGTCCCGGAGGACCTACACACCCTTTCCTCTTGTACCAGAGCCTGTTCCAGGATTTCTCAGGTTCAGCTTCAATGCCATTGTATCCTGGGCTGGTGGGTGTCCTATGGATTGTATAATGGTCCCCACCTACCAGGCTCAGTCACCCCCGTCCACCGCCTGTGACATCAAAGTGTCCTAGAGGCTGCCAGGTGTTCCCTGAGGACAATCCCCCGGTTGAGACCCTCTGGCCCCTTCCTGCCCTCCCTCCCACCGCCAGCATCCTCCAGCCCCAGCCTTAGGGTTTGGTGGGGCTGCAGCGCCTCCTAGTGGTAGAAGAAAGGGAAGTCTATATGTTGGTTTCCTCCACTGCCCAGACCTCTCAGCTCCAAGGGAGGTCACCACAGGGATGAGAATAAGCTGTCTGTGGCTAGCACAGCTCCCTGCAATGCCGGGTGAAGGGCGTGGGCTTGCTCTCCACTCTCGATGGGTAGATTCCACTGAACTACCGAGCTCTGGTAAGGAGCTCTGGTAGCGTAGTGGTTACGAATCGGGCTGCGAACCTTAAGGTCAGCGGTTCGAAACTACCAGCCGCTCCGCGGGAGAAAGATGAGGCTTTCTACTCCCGTAAGGATTTACACCCTCGGAAACCCTGTACAGGGTCGCTATGGGTCGGAACCGACTCGACGGCACTTAACAACAACAACAACAAACCGAGCTCTGGTAGCATAGTGGTTACGAATTGGGCTGCGAACCACAAGGTCAGCAGTTCGAAACTACCAGCTGTTCCTTAGGAGAAAGATGAGGCTTTCTGCTCCCGTAAAGATTTACAGCCTCGGAAACCCTGTACAGGGTCGCTATGGGTCAGAACCGACTCAACGGCAATTAACAAAAACAACAACCGTGCTCACATAGAACCCTGGGTGGCACTGGAGGATAGAGCACTGGGCTGCCAACCACAGGTTGGAGGTTCAAACCCACCGGGCTATTATTCTTTCATAGCTGGGTAGTTAAGTGCTTGAAAGTCAGCAGTTGGAACCTACCTACCGGATGCTCCACTGGAGAAAAGAACCCTGTGGGGTAGTTATCCTCTGTCCTACAGGGTCGCCATGTGGCAGAAATGGGTTTTGTTGTTGGTGTTAAGTGACATTGATTCGTTTCCAGCTCATATTGACCCTGTATAGGGTTCCTGAGGAGCAGCTGGTGGGATTGGACAGCTGACCTGTGGTTCACACTCCAGTGTTGATCCTACAGCTCCACACAGGAGCAAATGGATGTGGTGTTTGGTTATTAACCTCTCTGGACTCGGCATGCCCCACCCTCCATGTCCCAAGTCAGGGCAGACTCTGCCCCCAAGCCTCTCATGATCCCACACCTGTGGCCCCCACTCCCCCACCTCAAACTCTTCCTCTCTAGTCCCAGCAGGCAGTTCAGTTCTTTACTGCTACAAAGCACCTGTTCTTCCAAACAAAGGAGCAGTCTGCGTTTAACGTTCATCTTGTAACAAAGCGGATTTTCTCTGAACTCTCTCACACAAGGGTTCTCCTGGGCCTCTGTGCGGATCCTTGAATCTAGGGTTGCCATTGTCTCTCCTGGGGCCCCTGGATGGAAGGCACCTGCACACAGTCCCCGGGGCAGCAGTGAACCTGGGGCAGCAGATGGTGGAGTCACCCTGCTCATGCTCCCCGTGACATGGGATTCCGTGAGTTTGGTGGAATCAGATGGCCATGTTGGCATGGAAGCCAGAGTAGGAATCCATGTGCTCCTCACTGAGGTGGTCTGTTCAGGAGTCACCCCCCCCCCCCCCCCGTCCCTGCTTGAGCTCCTCAGGGCTTTGGGGGCAGAGGATGTTGTTGTTTGCTGTGGAGTCGGTTCCAACCCACAGTGACCCTGTATAGGGTTTCCAAGGAGTGGCTTGAACTGCTGACCTTGTGATTCAAACCGACTTTGCAGTCCAGTGCATTAACCCACATTGCCACCCCAGGACTCCAGGGTAGGGGAGAGGAATTCAGTCTCTTCTTTCTGAACCTTCTTCCCACCAGCCATGCTCCCACTCTTTGAGCATACTGGGGTCCTTCTGACACCCAGGAAGTTTGTCTGCCTGCCCTGGGTCAAGTTGAGAGCTATGCAAGCTTTTTGGTTTGTTCTGGATGCTACTTGGGCTTTGCTGTGGAATTCTAGTTCCTGAACCACTGACCTACTATTGTGACTCTCGTGTTGGCATAGATGAGTGCTCCAACACTGGGCTCCATGGTTACAATTCACCCAGCTCATTCTCATGTGGGCCAAGACCGTTCACCAAGTACACAATAGCCAGTGGTCCAGCTGGCCTTGACCACATTCTGGCCAGGCTCACTGGTACTTAGGCCATGTGCTGGCCTCCTTGTCCTCCTGCTGACCCTCAGGCAGAGAGCTGCTATCAGCTCATGACACAATCAGAGCTCTGGCTCAGTGCCCATCTCCCCTTCCTCCAGGTTAAAGTGCCACTCAGACAAACATGCAACACCCAACCAGAGCAAGAGGGGGGTAAAGGGGCAACACACACAAGTATTAGACATGCTATCAACTGAAATGGTTTGAGCTCTACCGCAGACCTAATGATTGGAGGTTCGAGTACAGCCAGCAGTGCCACAGAACGATGGCTTTCATTAAGATTGTTGTTGTTGTTAAGTGACGAGGAGTTGGTTTTGATTCATAGCGATACTGTATAGAGTTTCTGAGGCTGTAAATCTTTACAGGAGCAGAAGGCCTCATCTTCTTCCCAAAGAGCAGCTGGTGGGCTTGAACTGCTGACCTTGCAGTTAGCAGCCCAGCACGTGAGCCTCGAAACCACTAAGTCTCCTTCTGTTAAGATTACAGTCAGGTGGGTCTGGTGAAAAGAAATGGGGATAAGATTCTTATGATTCAATAGTGAGTACTTGTTATCATGGAATCCTGGTGTGGCGCTGTGGGCTAATGCGTCAGACTGCAAAGTCATTTGAACTGCAAGGTTGGTGGTTCAAGCTCACCAGCTGCTCCTTGGAAACTTTATACAGGGTCACTATGGGTCAGAATTGACTCGAAGGCACTTAACAACAACAACAATTGTTATCATGACTAATTGCAACTGTCACAAATGTAAAGGTAGAACTTTTGTAACAAAAAATGGGGGAGTAGTTAATCTTATAGTCCAGAAACAGAGGACCCTAGGACCATCAAGGAAGAAACGCATGAGCACAATGCAGAACCCTATCCAGAGAAGCAGAGTCCTGGTGTGGTGCTGTGGGTTAATGTGCCAGACTGCAAAGCCATTTGAACTGCAAGGTTGGCAGTTCAAGCTCACCAGCTGCTCCTTGGAAATCCAATGGCACTTAACGACAATTACATCCAGAGAAGCAGCGACACCAGAGATGGAGGCAGAGATGAGGACATGGAGAGAGGGAGCAGCTGAAGACTCTAGACTCATGGAAAGAGAAGGACTGAGTGCTGGCGGCCAGGAGGCAGGCTTGCAAAAACAGGGAATGGAAGAAAATACTGTTGAAAGATGATGCATGGAGGGGATTGTAATCATTGCAATGAACGATGAGTGTAAAACTGATGTTCTTCTATGTAAACTATCACTCAATGCACAATAAAAACTTGAAAAAAAATGACAGTCAGGGAAACCCTATGGGAAATACAAGGGTTGACATGGTTGGAACTGTCTGGGTGGTGATTCACAAAAATAACATGCATTGTGTGCGTGGAAGCTCCTAACCTTGTCCACTCCCTGCTATCCTTTGAGTTGCCTGCTAAGCTGTTTTCCCTAATGCAGCCCTGACCACTGGGCGACCTCACTGGTCACTACTGCCTGTGGTACACACCCTATGATGTCACTAAAGATCCTGCAAGCCCCCAGATTTTGGGATTCCTGCCAAGACGTTCCACCTGGGAGTTTGGTTCCCATACTGTCTGCAGCTGCAGACCTGATCAGACTTCCCTTTCCCTTCTGGGAACGGGTGTTGGTAGTTGGAGGAGAGGTGGGGGCTGTGTGGGTTTGTGCACGGCTAGGAGGTGGCTCTGCAGGGCTGTGTCCTTGCTGCTGGCACATAAATACACGGCTGAGTCCCCTGGCTTCGCGGGCTGAATCTTTAGGGTGGAGAATGAAGACTCGGGCCTCTCTGCAGAAAATCGGTCCTTGAACATTTCTGATTTCTCCGAAAGCTTATCATTAAAGAAGGAAATCAGAAATTCTAGGTTCTGCCCTGGGATCTGTCGGTACCAATACAGGTATAAGTGTCCAGGAATGGGGTCACACCGGAGGATCACAGTCTGTTCCATTCTGGTGACCTGGTGGCTCGGGGTCTGGCGGACTCCAGATTCTGAGTGTCCTGGGGAAGGAAGGAGAAGCAGAGTGTATGAGGCCATGGTTGGGAGGCACCTCAGGTAGGTGGAGATGAGACAGTCCCTGGGTCCTAGAGACTCACCTGTTTCCAGGAGACTCAGCAACACCCAACAACACAGGAGCCTGGGGTACATAGCAGGGTCTCGTCTCAGCAGAACTGAGCTCTCCTGGCCCAGGTGTCTGGTTATCAGAAACAGTGTCCCCTTCGTGGTCCCCTGTGGTAACACCAGCCCTGGGGCACCCTCTGCAGGAGAGGGGAGGTACTGAGGGACAGGACACAATGTCCCACCACTCAGCCTGCAGGTTCCAAGGTACCTCTGGCTGAGGGCCAGGCCTGGGACATGAGGGAGATTGGGGCCAGAGGCAAAGTCCTGAACAGAAACATCATGAAGGTTCTGCCCACCCCTACCCCCGTGCCCTGACTGTATGAACACAGCCAGGGTGTCTAACTCTGTGGCCGATGGCACAGTCATGAAGATAAATCAGGAACACGGAGAGTGTAAGCAGTCTGCATAATCTAAAGGTCGATGGTCCAAACCCACCAAGTGAGCTGCAGAAGAAATGCCTGGCCATCTGCTTACGAAAACTCAGCCATTGGGAACCACACGGAGCTCGACACTGACACCCGTGGGGGTCACCGTGGATCAGAGTCAACCTGCCGGCAACCGGTTTGGGTTTGGTTTGTTGGTTTGTCTGCTTTCCACTGTGACTGATAACACAGGTGTGTGGATGCAGAGCAGGAGAAATAAAGATACAGAAGAAAGACACATTTAGCAAAAAAGTGTTAAAACTGGAATGGCCATGAGGAGTGGAGGTGTTGAGACATTGGGTGACCCAGAGAACAAGACCAGAGCGCTGGCTGAAGGCTGGCATCCTCTGGGACAGAAGGTGAAGGGAGGAGGGCTGAGCAGATCTGGGGCTGGGATCCAGGAGGGAAGAGAGGCTGATGAAGCCCCATGTTAGAAGGAGGCTGGAGGCAGGAGAAGCCAAGTGTAGGTGTTTCTAGGTTTCCCTAGGCCACCGGCAGCAGGGACACTCAAACAACATCCACACTCAGCCGGTGGACCATGGTGGCTGGCTCTAGAGGACTGTGTGCATCCACTTCGAGTGATGATAACCGCACCAGGGTCTGAAAAGCCTGCTGGTTCCTGCACGCACGAAGCCTGGGGCCCGGAGGAGCACACACTCCCCACTCCGTCTACCCGGCTTCCTGCTGGGCTTTGGTTTATGCTGAGGGAGGTGGTGGCTCTGTAAGGCTGTGTCTTCGCTGCTTGCACACAGGTACACAGCCGAGTCAATGGGCTGCAGTCCATTCACATGGAGGTGCAGGTGAGAGCTGTTGGGGCATTCGGGGGAGAAGCGACTGGGAATGGTCTCGTTTACAGACATCGCCTTGTAGTTGTAGACAAACATGAGCTCTGGGGGCTTGTCAGGGAGCTGTCTGTACCAGTACATGGTGTTGTGGCCCAGACTTTGTGCACACGTCAAAGACCTCTTCCTTCCCACACCAGCAACCAGGTACTTGGGTGTCTGGGTAACCCCAGTGTCCGTGGAGCCTGTGAAAACAAGACCAAGTGAACCCAAGGTGAGAGTCTTGTAAGGCAGTTTTATGAGAAAAGCTAGAAGTCCCAGGTTGGGACGTCCACCTGTACCTGGCACTCACCTGACCCCAGGAAGCAAAGGGCTGCCCAGCAGAAGAGCCCACAGCCCACGGCAGCTGGGGTGGGCCAGGGCAGCATCTCCCTGCTCAGGGTCTGTCTCTGGGTGAGAGAAACAGGTGCTAGGATTTCTAGCTCTGAGAAGGGTGTCTTGTCCCCTGGCCTCTTGTTGCCTGGCCTCCCTGCCCTGCACAGCACCTAGGAGGAGAGTTTGGACCACCTGGCACTGCAAGGGTGGATGGGCAGATCTGGAGGAAAAGACCCACCCACCACTGGCTCCATCTGCGCCCTTTAAGGAACCCCTGGGTTTCTCCTTCCTCCTCTGACTTTGCAGAGTCTCCCCCAGGGCGGTGGTTAAGCTGTCATGGAAAGGTGGGCGGTTCCATCTCAGTAGCGGCTCTGCGGGAGAAAGACCCAACAGTCTGCACCCATAGTAATCGCAGCCTAGGACGTTTTATGGGCCTCCGGGTCTCTATGAGTTGGAATCAGTTTCATAGCGCACACAACAACTCTTTCCTCAAATGGGGACCGCCTAGCAATCTACTCTGGAGAGTTTACAGCCTAGAAAACCCTGTGGGAACGTTCTACTGTTAGAATCAACAACAAACCCTGATTTCTTCCCCAAGAAGGTGTCTTCAGGCCGCCTGTTGGCTCCTATCGCTGGGTCCAGTCACATGGCAGGTCCCCTAGCAGCAGACTGAATTACAGGAAGTTCACCTGGCTGGTGAACACTAAGCAGGTACAGTCCCAGACCAGGGCAGCTCACTCACGTGGGGGTCGGGCCTGGTTAGGGGGCTGCAAGAGAGTAACCAGGGATCCAGGGACGTGAGCCTCGGGGATTGGTGTGGGCTTGGGTGTCCTGAGTTGTCCACTAGAACCCCGTTAGAAGAAAAGCAAACCTAAAGCCAGAGCAGTTCCCACCCAAAGGCCCCACCCTACCTCATCCCTCTCCTGCTACCTCCCTTCAGGGATTTCAGCACCGTCACAGCCCCGCCTAGGGGCCAAAATGGTGCATTGCACAGACCTGACCCCAGGGCATGTGGCTCAAGGTTATAAACATCTGACTTACAGACAACTCCTGTTGTTGTTGTTGTTAAGTGCTGTCCAACCGGTTCTGACACATAGAGGCCCTGAATAGGGTTTCCGAGGAGCGGCTGGTGAGTTTAAACCACTGACCTTGCTGTCAAATCAAACACTCCAAATCGGCCTTGTGGACCAGCACATTATCCCACCCTTTAAGCTGGTTCTGACGTGGGAAAGATTTGTGATTGGTCAGATTCAGCACGGGCTCCAAAACCAAATAAACAAACCTACTGCCATGAAGTTGTACAATACATTGTTGTTAAATGCCCTCAAGTGTGTTCCAACGCATTGTTGTTGTTATTGTTAGGTGCCATCCAGTCAATATCAGCTCATAGTGACCCAGTGTACAACAGAATGAAACACTTCCTGTTTCTGAGTTAACCTCACAATCGTTACTTATTGATCCATTGGTGAGGATTTTTGTTTTCTTTACATTGAGATGCAGCCCATATCAAAGGCTGTGGTCTTTGATCTTCATCAGTAAATGTTTTAAGTCCTCTTCACTTTCAGCAAGCAAGGTTGTATCATTCTGCATATTGCAGGTTTTTAATGAGACATCCTCCAATCCTGATGCCACGTTTTTCTTCATATAATCCATCTTCTCAGATTATTTGCTCAATATAAAGATTGATTAAGTCTGGTGAAAGAATACAATTCTGGTGCACTTTTCCTAATTTTAAACCATTCAGTGTTCTCTTGTTTTGTTTGAACAACTGCCTCATGGTCTCTATATTGGTTCCTCATGAGCACAATTAAGTGTTCAGGAATACTCATTCTCCACAGTGTTGTCCATAGCTTGTCATGATCCACACAGTCAAAAGCCTTTGTGTAGTCAATAAAGACAGGTAAACATCTTTCTAGTATTCTCTGACTTAAACAATGATATCCCTCATTCCATACCTTCTTCTGAATCTGGCTTGAACCTCTGGAAGTTCTCTGTCAGTGTATGGTTGCAGCCATTTTTGTATTACCTTTAGTATAACTTTGCTTGCATGGGATATCAATAATAGTGTCCGATGATTTCTGAATTCTGCTGGGTCGCCTCTTTTTGTAATGGGCACAGTTGGCCAGGTAGCTGTCTTCCAAATTTCTTGGCATAAATAAATGAGTGACTCCAGTACCACATCAGTTTGTTGAAAGATTTCAATTTGTATTTCATCAATTTCTGGTGACTTGCTCTTTGTCAATGCCATCAATGCATCTTGAACTCTTCCTTCAAGATCGTTGGCTCTTGATTATGTGCTACCTCTTGAAATGGTTGAATAGCAACCATTTATTTTTGGTACAGTGACTCTTTATATCCCTTCTACCTTCTTTTGATGTTTTCTTCATCATTCAATATTTTGCTTATATGATTCTTCAATACTGTAAATTGAAGGTATTCTAATGAGTAGCAACCCTATATAAGGTTCCCAAGAAGCAGCTGGTGGGTTTGAACTGCTGACCTTGTGATTCAAATGGACCTTGTGATCCAGTGCATTATCCTGTAGTGCTACACCAAGACTCCTTCTGGCTCATGTTGTTGTTATTAAATGCCGTTGAGTCGGTTCCAACCTAGAGCGACCCTGTACAGGGTTTCTGAGGCTGTAAATCTTTATGGGAGCAGAAACCCTCATCTTTCTCCCAAGGAACAGCTGGTAGTTTCAAACTGCTGACCTTAAGGTTCGCAGCCCAATTTGTAACCACTACGCTACCAGAGTTCCTTCCTTCTGACTCATAGTGACTCTGAATTAGGTTTCTGAGGCTATAAATCTTTGCAGGAATAGAAAGTCCCATCTTTCTGCGTTTGGTGGCTGGTGAGTTTGAACTACCGACATTGCCATTAGTAGTCCAGTGCTTATCCTACAGCACCACATGAGGACCCTTATGCTATAGGTGACAGCCCTGAAATGGTGAATTTGGAAACTGTAGTGAGTCTTTTGGGCGCCTGATGTGTGAGATAGCATTTTTAACAAAACTGTGGAGAGCTACTAATATTCAAAGCATTACAAATTGGCTGCCATCTTTGAGTGGGGCGCCACCATGCTTGAGTGGGGCAGTGCTGCTTCAGAACATGCTCAAAATCCCAGGGCAATAGATTTGCTGTGTGCCACGTTCACAGCATTTCTTCTGTAAGAGGGCTTCTTCTAGCAAGGCTTCATCCTGTAATTTTTCCCATTTCAGGTATTTTTCTTCTACTCACCATAACTTCAAATGTTCAGGTCTGTGCCAACAAAATTTCCTAGGCTATGAATTGGGCAGAGCCTGTTTGAAGCCCTGACTAAATCTTATAATCCTTAAAGAAATGGAACTCTTTCAAAGCTGGGGACTGTCAAATAAAGGGATCCAAAAAAGGAGAGTAAGACACCCACCCTAACTTGGCACCCTTCTGTGGGTCTAAGTGAAATGTGCTCCACAGGGTTTTCAGTGGCTGATCTTTCAGAAGTTGCTCACTAAGCTTTTCTTCTAAGGCACATCTGGACAGAGTTAAACCTCCAACCTTTCCAGCAGTAGCTGAGCACATAAGCATTTCCACCACCCAGGGTCTCCAGCTCTAAAACAGCATGAACCAATCAGTCAGACCTTCCTCCAGGCTGGGGTATGGGAGCATTCTGGTGTTCTCAACTCCTATCACCATGGTTAACATTCAATTCTTAAGATGGAATATGAGAAGGACTAAATGACTGGACTGGAAGACAGTAAGAGACCATATGCAACAGGAGAGTGATCATTAAAGCACGGGCTGTGGGCTGGACTGTGACGAATAAAACTAGAAATGTCCAGGTGTGTAGTGAACTTTCAGCGCTAAGTTTTAGTTTAAAGACATTTGTAACTTTATCTTAGGAAATCCTATGGGCAGTTCTACTCTTTCCTGTAGGGTCATTACGAGTTGGAATCGACTCAACAGCTACCATGAGACTCAACCCAACAACAAGCAGACAGCGCATTCTTTTTTGGTGGAGCTCTGGAGGTGTAGTGGGTTAAGAATTAGACTGATAATTACAAGGTCAGTAGTTTGAACCCACCAGCTGCTCCACAGAAGAAAGATGTGTGTGGTCCTATAAAGATTTACAGCTGTGGAAACTCTATGGTACAGTTCCATGCTCTCCTATAGTGTGGCTGTGGATTATTAAACACTGTCCAAAGGAGGAATGTTGTTATTGTTGTTGTTATTAAGTGCTGTTGAGTTGGTTGTGACCTTGTATAGCGTTTCCGAGGAGTAACTGGTAAGCTTGAATCACCAACCTGGCAGTTCAAAGTGACTTTGCAGTCCAGCGCATTAACTCACAGTGCCACACCAGGACTCCAAAGGAGGTATAGGAGTAGGGGAATTGTTATCCTTCTAAGCAAGACCTTTCATCCAGAGATTCAGCTTTCCCATGTCTGAAACTGACTGTCGCTGCTCTTGATTTTCTCCCAGTTGTTTGTACTTGCTAGGTTAGCCACCATATTCAACAGAATCCCAGTGAGTCTGATGCATATTTTATTTGTAATTGGACTGCTTTTCTGTGCTGGAGTAAACAGTCCTGTTTGTACATCTTGAACAGTTGTTATGAATTTCCCCTGCCTTATCTGACCATTCTCCTCCTGCGTTTGGTCCAGTAGAATGCACCTCCTTCCCCTGCAAGAAAAATACACAAGACTTAGCACAGGTCTCCCAGCACAGCACTGCTTCTAACGCCCTTTTCTAAGCACAGTGAGTTGGGACCCGTCAGGATGGCCTACTTTTACCTCCTACTCTCCCTCATTATGAGGTGTCTTTACTATTCATCATGTCCCTTTGGGAATCTTACCTGTTTACTGAGGAGCCATTAGTAGTTTCCCAATCAATGCTTAATCCTGAAAAAAAAAAAAAAAATGAAATTCAGGTATGCAAAATAAAAAGCAACAGAAAATCAAGAATATATGCAGGTGTGAACATATGGTGGTTGTGGTGGTAATGTGTCATGGAGTTGGCTCTGACTCATAGCGACCCTGTACAGGGTTTCCATGCCTGTAAATCTTATGGGAGCAGAACCTAGAGGCACACATGTTAATATTGCATATTTTTGTAACATAATGAAGACACAGCTGTGAGGGAGGAGATGGGGGACAGTGAGGTGGTCCACGCTGGAAGCTAGAGATCTAAAACCAAGTGAAGAGGTCTCTTAGCATTTTTAGAGGGATGTTCTATTTAAGAAACATTTTAGGGTCTGTGGAGCCGTAGGTTAATGCATTGGACTGCAAAGTCGGTTTGAACTGCAAGGTTGTTGGTTCAAGCTCACCAGCCACTCCTCAGAAACCCCATACAGGGTCTCTATGGGTCAGAATTGAATCAGTTTCACTTAACAACAACAAAACAACAGATTAAGTAGAGTCCTGGTTTGGCACTGTAGGATAAGTGCTGGACCACAAGGTCATTTTGGACTGCAATCTTGGCAGTTCAAATTCACCAGCCACTCCTTGGAAAATCTACATAGGGTTGGTATGAGTCAGAATCAACTTGATGGCGCTTAACACCAACAACAATAGTTAAACAGCAAACAAGTGGAGGGTCAGTGAAAGCGAGGAGGACTCTCAAGGAGATGGACTGACACCGTAGCTGCAACATTGGATTCAAACAAAACAATTATGAGGATGACGGAGAACAAGGCGTTGTGTCGTTCTGTTCTGCATAGGGTCGCTGTGTGTCTGAACTGACATGACAGCACCTATCAACAACCACAACAACAGCACAGATTTCAACATTAGATGCTGCACCTGACTACGTACCTGAAGGTTGGTAGTTCAAACCACACCAGGCTGGGGTGTTTTTTTTTGTTGTTTTTTTTTACTTTTTTCTTTACTTTCTTTTTTTAGGGATACCCTGGCCTGGCCTCACAATCCTCTTGAAAGGGCCCTGTGATCACTCATGGTCAGTTGTAGAGGGACAGAGAAAAAGAGCAAGAGGAGAAAAGCAGGCTACTCATATATGAGCAGTTGGAGAAACAGATCCTAAGTTCCCGAGTTTTGAGAGTTTACTGGGGTGTACTATTAGCTGCTCTGCAGGAGAAAGATGAGGTTTTCTGCTCCCGTAAAGATTTACAGCCTCAGAAACCCTGTACAGGGTTGCTATGAGTTGGAATCGACTCTACAGCACATAACAACAACAACAACCCCAGTCAGGACCTCACAATCCTCCGGGACTGGATCTGGAATCTCTCACAGTCCGCTGGAGAGAGAGAGAGAGAGAGAATGAGAAAAGTGATGGAGAGCATGCTAAATAGTAAGGACAGGTTTGGGAGGGGGTGGAGCTGCGAATGGGCTAGCTGTGTGGAGGCTCAGGCTTTTGTGAGGCCTTGCCAGAGGGTGGAATTTAGATAAGGAGCTCTGGTAGCATAGTGGTTACGAATCCGCCTGCGAACCTTAAGGTCAGCAGTTCGAAACTACCAGCCACTTCGTGGGAGAAAGATGAGGCTTTCTATTCCCGTAAAGATTTACACCCTCGGAAACCCTGTACAGGGTCGCTATGGGTCGGAACCGACTCAATGGCACTTAACAACAACAACAACAACTGGTGGGAATGGGAAATTTGTAACATAAGGAAAATAGACATTTAAGAGAGTTATGGAGATTGAGAGAAAAGGCTTAGACAAAGAGGACCTCCAACAACTTTCCATTCCATTGGAGGAATGTCTCAAGATCTCTGAGAAGTCCATAATATAAGGTACCGTTTTCAAAGCATAAAGAGGTGTTTCAGTTTGATTTCAGATTGTAAATGAAGTTTTTTGAAATTGACCAAGAGACACCCTAATGGGGTCTCTGTTTCTATTTTTGAGATATGGGTTGCATATCTCATAATTTTTGTGTATTCAGTTAGAGGGAGAGGTGAAAGGGGGGTGGCCACGGCACACGATGTTTCTCTACAGGACATCCGGAGAAGAGAAAGATGTTTCACTACAGGGCGTCCCAAGGAGAGAAATATCGAGGCTGGTGACAGGAAGGAGGGCCAGAAGAACAACCAGCGCTTCCCCTGTATTGTTCAAATGGCGGGCCCCTGAGACATGTAAGGAAAGCCTGCCAGGTCTTATGTCTGGGGTCCGGAGGAGGCGTTCTCTAGGTACTTAGAGAAAACCTCCGAGACCAACTTACCTTCTCTGTGGGAACGACTAGAGAGGAATCAGCCAGTGGTGGATGGTTGGAGCTAGTGTGGAACGTGGTCCTGTGTTCTGCTGCAGCCACAAGATTAGAAAGGAGAAAAGGAAGACAACTGCCCGGACAGGTGACCAAAGATGTGAACACTGCAAGTCCCTTTAGAGACTACCAGAGAGTAACGCTGGCCAAGCCTCCTCAATTGGACTTGGTTTGCTCATAACTCTGAGATGTCTCAGAAGGAAAAGTTAATCGCACGTCTAGGACTCGCCCATTTAGCTTCCACTGACTACCACACCTTAGCTCATGAGGAGAGTAAGGGAAGAGGGTGTGAGGGAATGGGGCGAAGCAACCCAGAGCCAGCAGGGAAGCCTCGGCTTACTCTTCCGGGCCCCACGTTGGGCACCAAAATGTAAGGAATGAGAAAGAAAGAGTCAAGGAGAGAGTCTTTGGCTTCAATAGCAGGCAGGCTTACTGAAAGTGAACCTGGGGGCACTCAGTCATAAGAGACCAAGAACCCACACACCAGGCTGCTTTGTTGTTGTTGTTGTTGTTAAGTGTCGTCGACTCTGACCCATAGTGACTTTACATAGGTTTCCAAGGAGCAACTGATGAGCTTGAATCACTGACATAGGTTTCCAAGGAGCAACTGATGAGCTTGAATCACTGACCTTGCAGTTCAAATGACTTTGTAGTCTGGTGCATTAATTAGCCGACAGCGCCACACCAGGACTCCAGGCTGTCTTTTGTTGTTGTTGTCAGGTACCATCGAGTTGGGACCGACTCATAGCAACCCCATGCACAGCAGAACAAAACAATGTCTGAACCTGGGCCAACCTCACTACAGCTGCCACACTTGATGCCATCAATGATGCCACCTGGCCAATCCATCTTGTTGGGGGTCTTCCCCTTTTTCTCTGACCCTCCACCTTACCCAGCATGACATCATTCTCCAGCGACTGTTCCCTCCTGACAATATGTCCAAAGTATGAGAGACAAAGCTTAGCCATCCTGGCTTCCAAGGAGCACTCTGGCTGCACTTCTTCCAAAACAGATCTATTGGTTCTTTTGGCAGTCCATGGCACGTTTAGCATTCTCCTTCAACACCACAACTCAAAGGCATCAATTCTTCTACTATCCTCCTTATTCACTGCCCAGCTTTCGCATGCATATGAGGCTATTGAAAATACCATGGCTTGGGTCAGGTGCACCTTAGTCCTCAAGCTGACATCTCTGCTCTTCAATACTTCAAAAAGTTCCTGTGCAGCAGATTTGCCCAATGCAATACGTCGTCTGATCTCTTGACTGCTGCTTCCGTGAGTGTTGATAGTTAGTTGATCCAAGAAGAATGAAGTCCTTGACAACTTCAATCTTTTCTCCATTGATAAGAATGTTATTTATTGGTCCAGTGGTGAGGATTTTGTTTTCTTGACATTGAGATGTAATCCATATCGAAGGCTGTGCTCTTTAATCTTCATAAGTAAATGTTTCAAGTCCTCTTCACTTTCAGCAAGCAAGGTTGTATCATCTGCATATTGCAGGTTGTGAATGAGTCTTCCTCCAATCCTGATGCCACGTTTTTCTTCATAGAACCCAGCTTCTTGTATTATTTGTTCAGCATACAGGTTGAATAAGTATGGTGAAAGAACACAACCTTGTCGCACACCTTTTCCAATTTTAAAACATTCAATGTTCCCATGCTCTGTTCAAACAACTGCTTCTTGGTCTAGGTACAGATTTCTCAGAAGTACAATTAAGTGTTCTGGTAGCGTAGTGGTTATGAATTGGGCTGCGAACCTTAAGGTCAGCAGTTCGAAACTATCAGCTGCTCCGCAGGAGAAAGATGAGGCTTTCTACTCCCGTAAAGATTTACACCCTCGGAAACCCTGTACAGGGTCGCTATGGGTCGGAACTGACTCGACAGCACTTAACAATAACCAGGCTGTCTCAGTACCTACTATTTAGTGGACCTTTCTATTCATGCTGTTGTTGCTGTGAAGTGCCATCAAGTCAGTTCTGACTCACATTGACTCTGTATAGGGTTTCTGAGGAATGGCTGATGGTATTGCAGTCCAGTGCTTATCCCGCACACCATACAGAACATTAAAGAAACACTTTCAGATACACTACATCATCTGTAACAAAGCAAGACAGTAGCCATAATGATGTTCTGATGTATAGTGCCAAGTAGCACCGGTTGGCTATGCTGAACTACTGTAGGAATTTTTAACGTAGTACACTTTTCAGGAATGGGGCCACAGGTGTGTATTCAATTGGATTTTGCCTAAATGTTCATGATGAAGCTCAGGACTGTATTCTAAAGTTCTGCAAACTACCACCTGCAGGCAACGCCTGACCCCTTGTTTTAACCGGGACTCAGCCATGTCTGTTTGTTCCCATGTTAGCTGTGGTTGCTTTATGGCCCAGCAGTAGAATGAAATCATTGCAAAAGGGGCCTTAGTCCATGAAAAGACAGGACTATTTACAACCCAGCCCTTCACAGAAATGTGTTGATGGCTGCTTTATTCCCTCCTTAGGTGACTACCTTCCTCCCCCCGCCCCCAAAAAGATGATGGATAAATGAGTAGTAATAGTGTTAAAATCATTGGTCTGGATGGTCAGTAGGAAAAATTATTATTCCAGAATAAAAGTCTGAGATGTAAGAAGAAAAACTGAACAAAGAAATGGATAAACTTGGAGATAAATCTAAATCAGTATTGTTTGTAGAAATTGTTACTGTCACCACCACCATCATCATTACAGGAAACAGAATCGAGATACTAAGCAAGAGTAGCTTGCAAGTCCAGATGGTAATGATGAGAATTACAATGCTCAAAGGTTATGTTAGGCAAAGGACTGGCAGGTTAACTTCAGACACTTGAAAAAATAGAAATTGTCACATTTACTAAAATAAAGCACAAAGTTCAGCTCTATGATGTTCCAACAGACATACTTAAAAACAAGGATATTTAATCCAGTTATTTCTCTGCTTGCCTCTTATCCTCAAGAAATAAGAGCTGTGACATGAATAGATTCATGCACACCCATGTTAACCACAGCACTATTCACAATAGCAAAAAGATGGAGACAGTCTAAATGCCCATCAACAGAAGAATGGTTAAACGAACTTTGGTACATACACACAATGAAGAATAACAATGAATCTGTGAAACCCCTCATAACATCGAAGAACCTGGAGGACATTATGCTGAGTGAAATGAGCCAATGATAAAAGGACAAATATTATGAGACCACTATTGTGAAAAGTCAAGAAAAGGTGTTCATGCTAAAAGAAATATTCTATGATGGTTACCGAAGGTGGGAGGGTAGGGAGAATTATTCACTGGCTAGAGGTTACACATGTGTTGGGTGATGGGGAAGGCAGTTAAAAAAAGAAAAAAAAGAAGAGAGGGATAAAAAACACAAGGATATTTTAAAGGATGCAAAAAGATATAGGGCAAATGCTAAACAACCCGATGGTACCAACAAAAGGTGCTGATGCGATGGGAGGTGTCTCTGGAATGGCCCCAGTCTCTACCATTTAGGAATTTCTAGGTGGTGCAAAAGGCTAACACACTGAGCTGCTACCTGAAAGGTTGGTAGTTCAAATCCACCTG